CTGTCAAACCTAAAATGAGGACGTGGGCCCAGCGAGTGAATTCTATTCTACTTACTTACTATTAGTTACTTCACATTTCGTGCATGTTGTTGCTGCTGTGCTGTCCTGACAGGTGTATCCTGATAATTCACCAGAGGGCACTCTTGCCACACTAAAACAACACGTCCACTCCATCAACAGCCATTAATTACACAACCTTGTGGATTTAGTGGTAAAGAGTCAGAGAGTAGTTTTCAAAGTTGATACACAAATATAAAACCGTTACTGTCAGAAGGTAAGAATGTAGCCGCCCTGTGATTTACAGCAAAACGCTGCTGGAGGATTTTACATATTAGTGCCAGTACATAATGGCGTCATTGCAGAATTACTGCACATAAAATATATACCAAGGAATTTTAGACATAATTGCACCAACAGTCACGTGTAAATGTAATATATGAAAACAATGATATGCATTATGTTTTGTAGCCTTTTAAGGGCGAGATGTGAGTTGCAGCCACAGTTTCTCTGTTTGTGCTCTGCAGCAGTTTGTTGCGCCGCTGCAGTTTCCTGGTGCTGTGAGAGACGCCTGAAGCAAGTGAGGGTGAAATCACAGAGCAGTTTTGTTTTCACTGCTGTGCTTGTAACATCGAGCGCCCAAAAATACAACATCTTGCAAACTGCAAGGAGAAGGGTGCGGCGAGGGGAGCAGTAAGAGAGATGTAGTTGCTCAGTTTGACAGAAGCTGAAGAAAATAAAAAGAGTCTTCAGGTAACAATTATTATGTTTCATGCTGATTTGGAAATACCAAACGACCCAGAACAAAACTGCTGCAGTTCAGACACGAGGACGTTGTGTTCTGCAGGGATGTAGATGCCGTCGACATAATCAGACCTTCACGTCTTTTAAAGAATGTTATTTAATGAGGGACGTACCAAAACTACACTTTAGTGCTGATACGTTTACAATAATCACAAGTAATTTGTCACGGCATCTTTCAAACAGCACAAATTCAGTCACACGTGTTTAAATCGCTCGTATAAGAGCCGCAGAGTTCACGCTGCGTCCCTCACAGAGTTAACATTTACAGTAACGATGCAGCGGCTGCTGATTATCTGCTGTCTCTCATTCATGAGACACAACCAAATCTTCAGAGATCAAATGGTCATTTTTAAATAATCAGTTTTACATTCAGTACATCAGCATTCGACAGCAAACAGGAAACACATGAAGACTAACTGTAGTTTCACAACAAGGCTTTTATGTCTTTAGAAATCTCTCTGAGATCACTGAAGGCAAAGTGGCTTTCTTAATGTACTCGTCCACATTTTCACTTCAGGTCGCTTTTGTTCACGTTTGTTTCCCATTTGCTTTTGTTTACTTGGTCGTAATAAAAGGCAGGCCCTTAAGAGGCAGCACATCTCCCACTCCAGCTCGTCGAGTCGCTGAGAGCAGAGCATTCTCTCCTTGTTTGTCTCAGTGGCTCTTAGACAGAAAGGCACTTCAGGTAAAATGCAGTAAAACGCCCACGTGCTGCTGTAACTATGCCTGAGACGTCCATGTGAAGGACACTGCTTGGCTCTCTGTTGCTCTTCAGGTATTTGACTTTTCTCTCATACAGAAACAGCATTTTTTACGCTGGTGAAATCAAATCAGTCTGCAGTGACGTTTCCAAACAACTCTTTAGCACTCCAGCATCTTACATTGTTTCAAATCATATACAGCGAAACTGAACACATCCCTCTGCAATATCCAATTATTCAGAAACATTTTGTCTTACAGTAGCTGTAATATTTAGTGGAAGCACTAAAGCACCTGGTGCTGTTTTATTTTGGTGTGAGTTTCTAACACTGGGAGACGCTGGCGTTGGTGGAATTACTGAACTCTGCAGCTGCTCACAGAGATGTTGATCTTTTGGATATTGCACCGTTTCTCCAGCATGTTGGGCAAGTTACTTTGAAAAAGTAATTAATTATAGTTACTAGTTACTGAGTTAGTAACTGAGTTACAAGATTCTAAAAGTAATTAACTACTGCGTTACTTTAAAAAAAAAA